GTGTCGCTCGTTCGACAGATCGTACGTTTCCAGTTCCTTAGGGCCCCCGCCGCTCAGCAGAAGGACGTGTTCGTCGATCCGGCACAAGGACACCGACTCGTTCGTTCGCGGCACCAGCGAATCCGACAATCTGACGAACGTGCCGTTGATCGGATTGTAGCGGAGCAGGCGCATCGAGCAACAGTATTCGAGGCTCCCGTCCGGACAAACCATGTACGCAAGGTTCCTCGCTACCGCCGTTCGGTAAAAAGAAGCGATCATGGAGGAGTTCTGGACGTGCACGAATGGACGAACGGAAGGTTTCGGCGGACGGCACGCAGGAGAAGTGCCGAAGGTCGCCGTCTGCGGAACGCTGTGACGGACGCCGAGCGCGTCGTTCTCGTTCATCGAGTGGTGCCGGAAAACGGACTTTGCGTATTCGGTCGCGTCCTTGAAGAGCTGGTCGATGGACGACAGATGAAAGAGCTTGCGGTGGACGCTCAGCAGCACGTCCGGATCGTTCAGCAACCTCGGTCGAATCAGACCGACCAGCGCGTGCTTGTCCCGCTTGCTTTCTCCGGGATTGGAGGTCAGCCACTTCCGGACCAGATGCAGCAGGTATCCTTCGGACGCGTAGTAAACGTTTTCGATCTTCGGACCTTCCACCGGATCGTCGTGTCTGGACGTTTCGAGCCACGTGGCCAGCTCGTGCCATCGAAGCTCCTGCTGATGAAGCATCAGCTTGCCGAACGTCCTGCACACGGCCGAATCGACGGCATTCATCAGGGTCGGGGAACAGATGCGTACTGCGGTTCTCCTCGCTCTGAGCTGATCGTTCGCTGATAGTTCGTACACGGCCGAAACGAACACGCAGATCGCATCCTTGCAACCCGTCCGCTCTGCCATGTCCAAGCAGGCGACGCGCTCGTCGTACGAGGGCGCGTCCACAAAATCTCGATCTCTGTCCTCGTTCATGAACTTGATCAGAGCACGCACCAGTCTTGAATCGGCCGCGTCGTAAAGATCGACGACCCCGTTCGGCTTCCGGCTTTCGAACGTCGCCATTATCCACACCTTCGTCGTCTAGAACTCTGAAACGCGAACTTCGATCTGCTCCGAGCCTTTGAAGCACAGAGGATTCGTACGTTCGCCGACGTACGCGAGGTCGTTCCTCGCCTTCAGGTGATTCACCAAAAGCGACATCTTCCTGCCGATTCGAGGGCGTTCGTGACTCAGGCCTGTTCCGGGTACATAAATAACACATTTATGTTTTCCCCCCCAGCTTCCCCTCTAAAGTTAAGACGTGTCTCAGAAGATGTCTGCTCGATTCCGACCTTAC